GGAAGCCCACACAGTTTCAAATGCAGTGTCGTAATGAGAAGAACTCCGTCATGGGGTTTAGACAGACCTCAGTCTGAACCCTGCTGCTTAACCTGTGAGACAGTAAGATAACCACTCTGATCTTCCTAACTGTCGTGTGTAAAATAGTAGTATTAACACCTAACTAGCTGGTTGGTATTAAAAAGTAAATAAAGGGGGCGACTGGGTGGCTCAGTGGGTTAAAGCCTCTGCCTTGGTCTCAGGTCATGATCTCGGGGTCCTGGGATCGAGCCCCGCATCGGGCTCTCTGCTCAGCGGGGAGCCTGCTTCCTCCCCTCTCTCTGCCTGCCTCTCTGCCTACTTGTGATCTCTGTCTGTCAAATAAATAAAAATCTAAAAAAAAAAAAAAGTAAATAAAGTTGTGTGTGTAAAGCACTTGCACAATGCCTGGCATGTGGTAGATGTTTAATAAGCATTTCTTTCCTTAAATGCCTATTCATGGGCACTTAAGTCATGAAAATGTCCATTTCTTGGAGGGACAAGAGAGAAGAGGGAGCCCTGGCAGAGAGCGCATGGTATCCACAAGCCAGAAAGGGGAACAGGGCACCAACAACGTGAGTTCTCGGGGAAGGCGGCCAAGAGACGAGGGTGCTGATCTAAGGATAGGCACTAGAAGCAACTGTCTACTTCACAGCTTTTTGAGGGTGGGAGTTCAGAACTACAGTCCTGTAGACAGGTAGTTAATTCCAAGTATTGAAAACCAGAAGTTCTGCAAAGACTCAACCTAGCTAACACTCTGTGATCTACATGCTCCCCAGCTCAGAGCCATAGAGTGTCAGTTTCACACTCCCAGATCTGGGTTGCAGTAAAAAAGAAAGGCAAAGGGAGGTGAGCAAAGCTTGAGGTGGAAGCTTGGGGAGTCTGGGCGGAAGGAAAGAAGGCAGCCACGGGCAGGATCTCAGTGCGTACACGTAGGTGCTGGGCTGGCTGCCGTCCTTGTGAAGTTAGCTGAGGTTTGTGGTGGGGGTTTTTTAGCCTTCTCACTCCTAACTTCTGTCTGCTTTATGAGATATTAAGTGATGTCACGTCCTGTCTTACATCTAGACTTGCAACTTTCTTTAACGTTAAGATATAAATGACTGGTAATTGTACAGAGAAGGGTAGGAACGTAGACCATGGTGTGGTTCCCCCTCCCTTCATATGCCCTCAGCAGGCATGGTCAGAAATTACACCTTCTTTTCATCCCACCAGTTTTGACTTCAAGATCCCCCCCCTCCCCGCCTCAAAACCGTGGTCTGGCAGTTACTACAAACTGAAAAGAGTTGCTAAGGGTGCTGAAACTCATTTACCATCCTGGGGATGGAATGTCGTGTTTCTCAGTGACGACCCATTTGCCATCATGAGAGATGCCAAAGGGGTGGAGTTCTAATATAATTTCAGGTGACAGATAGTCATGAAGAGGATGTTTTGCAGGCGCCTCAGCCATCTGGGATCTTACTCCCTCTACGCATCATGTTTGGCAAATAGTCAATTCTCAATAAAAAGTTAGTTAGCCAAACAAATACATGAGTTGATTCCTAGCAACATCATCACAACATTCTCTTTCTGGGGGAAACGTGTTGGTGACTGTGAACGAAGACCAGCTACAGCACTTAGACAGAAACGAGACTCTTAATAGACAATGTGCAAGCATGGAACCCAGGGTTGGATGGGAATATTTCGTGCTCATTTGAAACTTGGCTCTGACTATGGCTTCTCTGTCACAGATTTTGGCGGAGGGGGAGAATGCTCCCACAGGGAAAGCCGTGTGCGCTGACATGGAAACTGAATAGAACTTTGGCTAGGCTAGGAGTCATTGCTATTTTAGTCACTTCCAGATGTCTGCTGTTGGAGTTTTAAGGGAAAGGGAAAGATGTGTGGAGTGTGGGGGCCCACGGGGTGGAAGGGGAGGGCTGTTTCAAGTCACTCTTCAGTATGCTACTAAGATGAATTGGATAAAGCTTTTTTAAAATTGTGTTCTCAGTAGTGCCTCTTTTATTTACGTGCTTGATGGCACATGGAGTCATAGGCAAACTGAAGAAACCCTTGTGAAATCATCAGGATTCCCCCCCAAAACGAAACTTATCCCTTTGGGTTGCCATCTAATATTTATGAAGTGCCAAGCATTGAATGGTACCCACACCAGATGAGCCATCTGGCCCATTAGCTATTGTGCTAACCTAACAAGTTCACCAGATGCTTGTTGTCTATCTACTTTCTCCTTTCCTGTTGTGTTGGAGGTGTCTCTTAATCCCGGTGCTGCCATTATAAACTAGAAAGTGACATCAGGTTGTAATGTTTAAGTATGTGGAGGTGAGGCCTTTTGGAATCTTCAGAAGGGGTGTTCAGGTCCTTCTCAAGAGGTCCTGGTACCACCATGGATCAATCCAGGGGCGTAGGTCAAAAGACCCAACTGGGTTGGGGGGTTTCTTGTGTCTTTGTTTCACTGGGAAGGAATAGTGCTAGCATGATATAAAGGGTGAAAAGCAAAGCATAGGAGAAGCAGTAGAGCTTGTAGAGTTATAAAGAACATGGATTTGAATCAGACAGACCCAGTTCAAGTTCAGACTGTCACTTGCTGACTATGTGAGCATGCACTTAACCTCTCTAAAGATCAGTTTCTTTATCTGCAAAGTAGAAATAGGGCTGTTGGGTGTTTGCTGGGTGGGGGAATCATGGTAGATAACACCCACTACCTTGTTTAACCAGGTTGTGAGCTGATCAGAAATAAGACAAAGCGTTAGACAGATGGAGGTCGACATGTTGTCTGTATTATTGTTAAAGTTGATATGAAAAAATGTGGCATCTTTCTGTGGGCACGTGCGCTTCACAGCCAGAACTTCCTACACAGCAGCCGCAGCCCAGGACAGAATGCTCCCTCCAGGGGTAGGGCATAGCATGTGCTTTCGCAGGATACAGAAGAGAGGTGGCCTGCGTCATCCCCATTTCTTCCTCCATGCTCTGCTGTCAGATTAGCGTGAGGGGACAGCATGAGAAAGTGGGGAGAAGCTGCGAGTGTTACATTTATGGGTCTTGCCCTCACGGAAGGCAACACCAAGAGTGGAGGAAGACCCATTGCCCCTAACAGGAGCAACCTCAGAGGGTTCTGGTAGGGATTCTGTGAGCTGAGGGAACGTGTTTGGCAAATGCTTAACCATTCAACGAAATGTATTAATTGATATTATTGCATTGTCACCAAGCGTGGGGATAACAGCAAGGAAATGAAGTAAGGGTCATTTGCAGGGGAAATTATGTGTTGTTCTCATGGGCAAAAAAATAAATACTTTAGGATATCTTTAAAATGGACAAGAGGCAAGTGCCTATCCTAACTAGGCTCTCTTATTATTGCTCTGGGACAGGAAGGCCAGCCTGAAGTTTCAGGACAGGTAGAGGAGACTAGATTTACAATAGCTGAAAGGAAGCAGAGTTTTTAACTAGATTAATGTGAAACAAGAAGATGTCATTGAACTGCTTGAGGGAGATCCTCCCAGTGATTATTCTCCTGGGATGACTTCTGGGTCTTGGGTAGTTGACCAATCCCTCTCTATGTGGTTTCTTCTTTGGGCCATGAGATTAGCCCATGTGCTTCCCCAGTCTGAGGTTTCTGCTAGTTCTTTAGCCCCAGATTTTTCTTTTGGGTAGGATTTCTTTCTTCTTGAGCTGAAAAAAAAAAATGCAGACAAAGGCAGGTGTGGTGTGGGGAAACACTTCCATTTTTACCTATATCCCACTCTTTCCATCCTTACCCTACTCAAAGCCCATGAGCTCTCCTGAGATTTTCTTCCTTTCTTCTGAGATTTTGCCTGCTAATTCTTACACAGTATTAAAACACAAACTTGCTGCAAATCTCAAAAGCAATAATTATTCCAGATCTTTTTTGGCCTCTGTTTTGAGCTAGGCATGATCACCATTTAAGGCAATTTTCTCAATTGCTTCTCTTAAATCTTCCTTTGGGGAATTAGCATCTGGGGGATTTTCTCCTCTTCTTCTTCCACCTGCCTCCCCACTTTAAGTGGACCTTAAAGTCCCTGGCTGTGCATAATTGATGTTAAAGGTAGTCAATTGGGCTTTCTAAGATTCAAGGGTGACTCACTTGATCTCCAGAGGAAGCCTCGCATTGGCAAGTTGTTATTGTCTCACTTCACAAAACACAGTAATTTCAAGTTACCGCCAGAGAGATGAAGTCAGAGGGAAGCTGTGGCAGTGGAAATGTAGTAACACAGAAACATGCTTCCAAGCTGAGAGAGAAAACCAGTGAATTCGAGGAGAGAAAGATGAAGACCATGGCAGAAGAAAGAGCATCAGAATATGCCAATGTTCCCTGTGTAAAGAGGGTTATTCAGATAGCTAGGGAGATGGGAATTCTAATTACCTGGCAGATAATATTAAGGAAAGAGCACGTAATTGCATGAATAAACACGCTTGCTCTGGGAGAATGCTCTAATAGTCTTGATGCACACAAGGTTGTACAGATCTGTTCCCTTGACCTCTCACCTGCTTTTCACCTTTGTTCAAAGTGAGCTGAGTGTGAGCTGACACACAGCTTCAGTGATTCCGGCAGAAGCAATCTAGCTGTGGCTCAGGTGACAGGAAGTGGAAACTTGCCATGACACTTTGAGGAAACACATTTCCGATCCTCCCCAAATGTTAACCAAGCTCTTAAAATTGTAAATCTAATGACACCGTGAAGTGTTTTTTGATGTTTCAATCAATGGGCATTTCATGGTAATGGCTCCACAGCTGAGCAAGCCTATATTTGGTTAAAAATTTGGCCTATTTTGAAGTCCCTGAATTTCAAGTAAACCAAGAGGCTGCCAATCAATGTGGCAGCTGAAACATTTGCTCTACGAAGCAAAAACAATAGGACTCAACTCCCAAGTTTGAAAATTAATGCCATTTTGTTGTTTCTCTTAAAAGTTAATCTTTTTTCTTTGAGTTGCTCTTTATAACATCTGCTAAGTGGCTTTGTTGTTGGATTTTAGGGCTTGGCGCAATACTCCATCCTCTTTTATGGATATTATGACAATAAACGAACAATTGGATGGATGAATTTCAGGCTGCCACTCTCCTATTTTCTGGTGGGGATCATGTCCATTGGCTACAGCTTTCTGGTTGTCCTTAAAGCGTAAGTTTCACTGGCCTCTTGGGAAGTGAGCCATGATTTCTGGAATCAAATAGTATTAATTTAAGAACGGGATATAATTTTTATCCTATTTTATATCGAGAGGATACTGAATCTGTAAGAGATAAAATGTGGTTTTAATACCAACACTAATGTTAGACTATGACATTCCCCAAACAAAAGGGTTGAACACAAGCTCAGGCCTTTAGATCATCTCACTGGGTTGCACTCCTATCTTGTGTTTAAACCGATGTTGAAGACACACCTTCTTGAACTTCAAGGTGTGACTCCATGTTTCAAACAAGGCAGGGAAATAGCTGCTGGCCCCCTTTCTTTGTGTGCCGAGAGGTTTGCAAGTTGCAGAATCAGCTCAGTAGGCAGAATCTGTTATTCTGTGCTCATTAAAAAAAACAAAACAGAACCAAAGTAGTCACTCAACCAAAAAAAAAAAAAAAAAAAATCAACCATGTACAACAGAGAAAACGAATGGCCCCCAACAAGGCCATCCATCAACTGCAGAATCATGGTCTGTCTGGAAGAACATTTATTAGAGCATGGGGAAGAATTTCTTTAGAGAACATGTAAACGAAGCATGTGTAACAACCCATTTAAAGACACAGCAGAAACCTGCATCTGGGGCTATGACTAATCTCCATATCCATGAGCCAGTTCTCTGAGCTAGCATGGAAGTCTGGAGAGACTTGAGAGAGTCCCGACCCTTCTACTGGACTGTGAACAAGGTGAACTGGCCTTTTGCTTCATCTCAGGAAAGGACCTCTGCCCGAGGGTCCAGGTTACCCCAAGCAGGAGCTCTTTGGCATAGTCTGTGACACACTTCGTGCCTTGTCTCTGCCAAACTGGTTCCACCGGAGGACACTGTCATATTTAGTTTTCAAGACCCCACATCCACAGTATTCATCTCCCTGTCCAAATGTAATCCGGGATCCTAAATGTAAGGTATCTGTCTGTCTACCTGGTAAAGTATTACCATATTCCCCAGTCTATGCTCTTTCTCCTCTTTTAACCTTTCGGATTTGCCAAAACTAAAATTGGGGGGGGGCAGTTATGTTACAGAGGTCTTGGGAGAATCGTTTTGATGCCAGTCCATCAGTCAAGCGCTAACTTGATTTCCAAAATCAGAATTCATATATTTACTCATTTATTTAATAACTTTATTGAGCAGTTACTATGGGCAATTACTGTGGGCAATCTCAAGGGCTATCTAGTGTCCGAGAATTTAGTGGTGAACAAAATAAAATCCCTGCCCCCAGGATGCTCAGTTGAAGAAGCAGCCTGTAAACTAAGGAGCAAACAGTGGTTGTGGCCAATATAGAATATAATATACATATGACATCCTCATGTTATGCAGATGTTATTCATGTATTAGGTGTTAGCCTTTGCAGCCAAATATTTGCTGCAGTTTCTCCTTTCTCCAGAGTGTAATATGTGCTGTTTCATGTAGCATAGCCCTTGCTATAATTTTCTCCCCTTTGTGTAGCAGGCTTATCCTGTGAGCTTCTAGAGAGTTGCTTCCTACCTCCCTTTCAATCGCCTTCCTCGTCCTGACTTTCTTTTGAGCAGAGGCTCCATTACAGTGACCCTGTTGGCTTAGGATTTATGGAGTCACTTATTTGAATAATTAAAAACTTTCACATGCAACTGTAAAATGACCAAATAACCCCAGCATGTAAACAGAGATGTAAACTTGGGATCCGAGGCAAGAAGTTGAGGCAAAGGCATGAATGCGACCATTGCTTTCTACAACCTCCCAACGAAGCAACAGATACGTGGAGGTTGTGTCTCATAGACACAGTGGTTCAAACCTATAGCCTCCTTGAAAAGAGAAGAATGTTCATAGGTAGGTGCATTTTTGTCTCTCTGTGGGCACGGGCTAGAGCTGTCCGTGGAACATTTAATAGGTATCAGGGCTCCCTCCGAACAGAAGTGTACTATAGTCCTGCACTTTGTCTTTCCTTCCTTCTTTGAGCATTCCCCTCTTTCTCGTCAGTTCCTGCATGCTGGGTGCTCTGGACTCGCCCAGCTCATGCTCCCTTATCTGAGAGGCTGTCTACAGCCACACAATTTTGCCAGGGAAGCTCCATTCGAAACTTCAATCTGTCAAGCATCCACTTTGACTTGAAACCTTGCCCTTTGCTCAGTGAGAGCGCGGAAATGGATGGTGGCATATGAATGAAGTAATCTTCTCCCTCGATTAAACCAGTGGAAATCTTGGATTTCAACCCCTTTTGACCTACAAAGAGGCATTTTATGTGATTCAACATATCTCATGCAGGCCTAGCTTGGGCACCAGAGTGAAGTCAGAGAGCCTAAGCCCTTGACCTACGTCTGTGGCTAACTCCATCTGTAAAGAGAGAATAATATTAACTCCCTTGACTTTTTGTTCAGTTGTTGAGAAAGGAAAACATGGTGATACGTACAGACACCATTTCAAAGGGCAAAGTGATAGACTGATGTAAGGGATAATTATTTTTGGTGATTTTTTCATAACTTTGCACATTTAAAATATATAAACCTCTATAAGGAGTGAAGCTAATAGTAGGGGATGTGAGCCACCTCAGAGATGCCTGCCAACCTGTCATGTCAGCTTTATATGGTGCTTCTTTCCTTTTTGGTTCCATAGCACTGTAATACTCAGAAAACCAAAACCTTATGGGATCATTTTATAATATGTATCATATGAAATTTTAATTTTGCTATTTATAGTGATAAGAGGAAAAGAAAGGAAGTGGAGTGAGTAGAATATAGATCTTTAACCACTGAAATAAACTGTAAGTAAATGCATTTTAAGCTCTCCAAGCAAAAAAAAAAAGTATGTGTATATGTATATATACACACACACACATATTCTAATCAGTTATATATATTAAAATATGTAGATTAAGATATATGTAACCAGTTGGCATGAACATTGTATAAAAATTTTGATATTTGTCCGAGAGTTGTAAAGTATGGAGAAATTTGATGCATTCAGTCTGTTCTTTGGGAAGAGATACTTGGTGGGAGTTGGCGTCTATGCAGGAGTTTCCTGACCGGCCCTGGGTTAGTTCATTCCTAGCTGCAGGGGGGTCTGGAAATAAGCTAAAGCCTCCTAGAAGTTTAAGGGTGTACACATATTTTTTTTCCTGGGGAGGGACCCATGGGTTTTTGTCAGATTTCTAAAGAGAACCTTATCCCACAAAAGGTTAAGAACCAAGTGGATGATGCTAAGAAAACAGGTGAGGGAAACAAATTAAAAGTACATATTTTTGTAGGACCTGTTTAATTGTTAAAATCACCAATGCTTCACAGTCTTTTAATCCCAAAAGGCCTGGAAAATGAACAGTTTAAAGAATTAAAACCAAAATTTGAAGATCAACTTTTATTTTCTGGTCCTAAGAACAAATTTTGTTTGGAAATACATGCTTTCAGGATACTGCTTCTCCAGGCTACCTGTAATTGTACTATTTTGCTACTCCCTACCCTTTCCCTTTCTTTCTGGATCCAGGGGGCTGGATTAAACCCTGTGTTTTTATAGGATGACCAAAAATATCGGGGATGATGGGGGCGGTGAAGACAACACGTTCAACTTCAGCTGGAAGGTGTTCACGAGCTGGGACTACCTGATCGGCAATCCGGAAACCGCAGACAACAAATTCAATTCTATCACCATGAACTTCAAGGTAAACACATCAACTTCAAGACCCGTGCCTTTGGATTTCCAAGATGAAAATCAGAGCCATTCCATACGGTTTAGCTTAGCGAAGTATCCTGACAATTAAAAGAAAGATTAACTCATCATTTCTGCCTACCAGGATCCGGGCAGGGTTCTGATTGTGATTGGAAAATATCTGATGACACACGACAGCACGATTTCTTCTCTAAATTTGGTAATAAAAATACTGCCATTGGCTTGAAACAGGAGGCCATTAATAATCAGAAATCGGATAGTCTAAATAATAGAATAAGGCTTACTAATTATTTACAGGAATAAGCTAGCTCAATATTTAAAATGACCCTTATTATTATTTTGGAACTTCAGAAGAAAAAAAAAGACTATCAGAAGAATCTAGAAAGAAGTTTGTCCTCATCTGAGATCAGTCAGAGTTTATAAGAATTCTCCCTTCTTTCTCTCACTCGTTCTTACTTGCTGCTGATATCTGCCTGGTTTGTGGAATCCCAGGTGGAGTGCACATTTTCATTCCTCATTAGATGTTTGCAAAAATAGCTTCTGAGTGTATGCTAGTTTTCGTAGCTCAGATGTATTTTGTTTTTCTGTTTTGCTTGAGTACAGGAAGCAATCATAGAGGAAAGAGCAGCCCAAGTAGAAGAAAACGTCCACTTGATCAGATTCCTGAGGTTTCTCGCTAACTTCTTCGTGTTTCTAACACTTGGCGGGAGTGGATACCTCATCTTTTGGGCTGTGAAGCGATCCCAGGAATTTGCACAGCAAGATCCAGACACCCTTGGGTGGTGGGAAAAGAATGAAGTTCGTCTCTGCATGCTTTTTATGTGCTTAGAACCTGACATTTGAAATTGTGTGGTTATGCTTCTCTGGTGCAATGTTAAATAAGGCCGTCCTTTACCTGTCTACCCCACACTGTCCGGTCACACATTTTCCACTCCATTCCAGGCTTATTTCCAGATCTTTCTACCGTCTGTCTCTCATTTTGTGATTTTATGGAAAGCTAGAGTTGAAAGAGATACTAGAACGCATGTATTCCAACCAGTATATTTTACAGATGCGGTTAATAAATGTCAGGAGGAGGGGTGGTGTGTTCAGGTCACGGAACCATGGGGAAGAGTGAGTTAAAACCCAGGAATCTTGATTTCAAAGCCAACACTCCTTCCATGACTCTATGTTTCTTTCTCTGTAGATTCTGCGTCTGTCACTGAAAGATCCAATTGTTGCCCTAATTCTTTGAAACAGCAATGTTAGAGTCCTTGGTTCCTATGTTTATCTCACTGGAAACATTCAGATTACCTCCTCCACTTTCGGCAAGTCTGGGATTCTCTCTGTTTCTCCCTAGCAGTCTCACTGCACACTTTCCACCTTCTCCTCCCTTTGCCTTATTTCCTCTCCCTCCAAGAGATAGTCAAATGAGGAAGGCCAGCTCTTTGCCTGGAATTAAATCTGATGGTGATGTGTCTTCAGGATATGTGCCCATTGAGCAGGTCAGAGGAAGGAAAGCAGATGTAGAGAATACGGAAATTCAGATGTAGAGAATAAGGAAATCGCTATGTCTTGTTGCTAGGGCCTGTTGCCTTTCATAAAATGTCCTGGCATACAATGTGGTATCTTTTTAAACTTGAGCATTTTCTAAGTATGTATAGATTAAGGCTGTGGGAAGTGTAGAGTGCCCACACTGAAACTTCTGCTGAGCCTTGTAGACCAAAGAGATTCAGAAAGTCCTTATAAGCATAGAATTTTCTAGAAATATCTTGGACAAAATATAGCCTATTTACAACAAAAGACTCCAAACGAAAACATACCATGTATTTCAGAAATGATAATCCTGGAGATGGGGGGCTGTAACAGCACAGACATTTCATGGAAACCTATAAAATGTCATTAGGTTAAAAAAAAAAAAAAACCCATGTGTTAGAAAATAAAATTATTTTGCCAAAAAAAAACAAAAAACAAAAAAACCATGTGTTAGAAAATAAAATTATTTTGCCAAAAAAAAGAAAAATGTCATTAGGTAAAGGGATTTTATTTATTTAAAACAGAGGAGAACCTCAAAGCATTTATCAAGTTTGTTGTCAAAGTTTCTTCTTACAGTTGTGATAACTTCTATTACTTTGGCCCATGGTTCATATTGATCATATTTTTGTATGAATGAACCATAGTAAAGTGTAGATAGTTTCTTTTCATTAGGTGGAAGGATCATTCTACGTAAGAGTCTGTTTAACACCTATTTAAGGGGACCCTGAGTCCTAAGGGCCAACAAAGGTAGTAATGGGGATGTATGAATAACTTTATACATTTGATGAAACAGAATTTAAATTTATCTTATAAAAGATAGCGCAGGATCTGCCAAGTTTTTACCTTAGGCTGAAATTATACATGCTGATTTTATATTACGTCATGCTGATTTTTACCTTCTCTTGGTCATACTCACGTAACGTTCTTAATAAAAATGGGAAAAACCATACTGACAGTATTTTCTCAATACAATCTGGTAGTTATAATCATTCAAAACACAGAATCAAGAAATGGCAATAGGAAATGTTTAGTGGTGACAGTTTGAACCAGGTATTTAGGAAAGGCCCTGCCAGGGCTAACCAAAGTCTTTTTTCATTCAGGGAGGCTTTTTCCCCATCACAAAAGTAGTACATGAACTGGATTATTTTCCCTGATTTAATATAGCCTAATATTTTAATTATGAAGGTGCCAGACAGGAGATATGGACCATACATTTACTACTTTTCATATTCTCTCCCCCTCCTCCACACTGCCATTCTAAACCATTTCTTCACTCCTGGAAATTTCCTACCTCAGCTTTGATAACGTCATGATTTGTGTTCTCCTTTTGTTTCTCTGAATGTCCTGTTTTCCTGTTTTCTTTGATAAACCCATTCCTTTTTTTTTTTTTTTTTCCCCTAATAGGGTATATTCCCCAGACTTCAGTATTTAGTCCTGAGCCCATTTCAGGGAGCTCATTTATTCCAACTGATTGAACTAGCCCATATGCTGATAATTGTCAAATTAGTATTTCCAGTTTGGACCTCATTCCCCAAGAAGATCATTTTTGCTTTCCATTGGAACTCTTGTTACAAAGTGTGTGACTGTGGGATGCCTGGGTGCACAGTGGGTTAAGCCTCTGCCTTCGGTTCAGGTCATGGCATCAGGGTCCTGGGATCGAGTCCAGCATTGGGCTCTCAGCTCAGCGGGGAGCCTGCTTCCTCCTCTCTCTCTGCCTGCCTCTCTGCCTACTTGTGATCTCTCTGTCAAATAAATAAGTAAAAATCTTTAAAAAAAAGAAAAAAGTCTATCACCATATCAGAATCAGTTCCCATGTAGAAGCATATGTTCATTGGACATAGGGTGTTATAAATTTCTTCCCTCATTACACTAGGAAACAGACTGTTATTACTGGCGCATATACAGGCTCATACACAAGCATGCCTTGAGAATGGGACTTGAATATTTTCTTTGTTGTTTTAATGAGATCAAATTTTAAAAGTGCATGAGATAATCTTCTTTAGTCTTATAAAAGATGAAAGGAATGTAGCTGAAATCTTGCAAAATCCTGGAAGAAAGCATTATTTTTTAAATACCATTAACTTAGTTAATTCCCTGTGTCTCCCTGTAGATGAACATGGTCATGTCCCTCCTGGGGATGTTCTGTCCAACACTGTTTGACTTATTTGCTGAATTGGAAGACTACCATCCCCTCATCGCTCTGAAATGGCTACTGGGACGCATTTTTGCTCTACTTTTAGGCAACTTGTATGTATTTATTCTGGCCTTGATGGATGAGATTAACAACAAGGTGAGTCTTGTATCTGGATTGCTTTCTGCATCCCTGTGTTGTTACGTTCCCTGTCTCCAGACTGCTAGAAATGCCTTTGAAACCTGTGCTGTCTCCATCATTGCCTCCATCCCTTTGCATCCTAGATTGAAGAGGAGAAGCTGGTAAAGGCCAATATTACCCTCTGGGAAGCCAACATGATCAAGGCCTACAATGCCTCCCTCACCGGAAATAGCACTGGGCCACCTTTTTTTGTGCACCCTGCAGATGTACCTCGAGGACCCTGCTGGGAAACAATGGTGGGGCAGGTAATGTCACCAACAGACGTGGATGACAATAAATGGATGAAGAAAGAGCAGAATCAATTATGTCTTTCATAAAGGTGGCCTATTTTTTTTGTTGCTTCATAAAAAATACCAAAGATGTATTGAGGGCTTACTATGGTGCTGGCTATGAATTTCATGTATAGTCTCTCATGCAGTCCTCACTCCAGCCATTGAGGGAAGTACTACTTTTACACCTTTTTTAAGCTGTGTTTAAAGAAAGGATATTTTTAAATGGTGTGAGGAGAGGTTCATCTTCTATTTGTGTTGTAAGAAAGCACCTAGATTTAGATACAGGCTCCTGCGAATATTTAAGTGGAACTCTTACCTATTATTTCCAGTTTCCCACTAAAAGGATGTTCCTTCGGAGCACACATGAATACTAATTTCAGCAATGTCCATTTTTCTCAAATAATTATCCCTTAAGTGTTAAAGGAAATACTGTTTTAGGTGAGTTGTTTTCATGATTATGTAAATGACCCCAGTCCAAGACTGCTGGTATTTGACCAGAGAAAGGAGAGAATGTTTCATATGGCTTTCTGACCAATAAGGGAAACCAAATTAAGAAAACACCAATAAACTATTCCACATCTCTTATTTCTATACAGATCCAATTGTTATTTTGAAAAGTCTTTAATTCAATCTTAATAGAATTGACGTTGCAACTGTGCATTTCGTAAACTGGTTTTGGACTTGGGATCCTCAAGGAGGACCAGATACTTTTAAATATGTCATCGTGCATCTACCTGCCTGTGGGACAACAGTCCAGTCTCAGCAGTAATGTGGTCTCGTGGAATTATTTGAATAATTTTTTGCTGTGTACTTCTTCTTTGTAATCTAAAAGGAAAAATTGAAAGTTAGTGTTAGTCTTTTTTTTTATTTTTTTTATTTTTTTTTTTTAGTGTTAGTCTTATAAAATGGATGCAATTTAAACAAATGAGGATATCATTAGAGGCCCTCATGCTCTTATTAGATGCTCATCAGACTTAAGCCAATCAACTATGATTTTAATTGTGGGGAAAAAAATGAGAACAATGTATGTGATGCTATATACACATCCAAACAGTATGGTATGACTAAGGATTTTATTTTACTTTATTTTTATGCTTTCAGGGGCCAGATAAACATTTCCCTTTCCAATTACATATAACTAAATACTCCATTTTCAGACATGCACATTCATACATGTTTATAAGGTGTATTATATCTGAAATTATAAATGAAATGTAGGCTGCCTTTACTTAGGAGACAGGTATGGTAGGTGGGGTAATGGCCGTTCAAAGATGTCCATTACCAGTCCCTGGAATCCATCTGACAATGTTACCTTTCATGGTAATATGGGCTTTGCTGATGGGACTAAATAAAGGAAAGCTATCCTGGATTATGTGGATGGACCTAGTGAAATCACGAGTAGGGACAAAAGAGTCAAAGTCAGAAAAACCAGACATGACAGTGGAACCAGGTTGGAGAGATGTGCTTTATAGATGGACAAAGAGGGGCTGTGAGCCCAGGGATGCCAGCAGGCTCCAGAAACTGGACAAGGTGGTGACCCAGCTTCCTCCCTGATGCCTACACCTTGATTTTAGATCTCTGACCTCCAGAACTGCAAGAGAATAAATTCATGTTGTCTTAAGCCCCAAAGCGTGTGGTGGATTGTGACAGCAGCAACAAGAAGGGAATGCACAGAAGTATATAGGTTTCTGAATTTCAAGGGTCCTTCCTTGAAAGTGCTTCATATAAGTCCTAGCACATCTAGGCTGCTTTGTGAGTCCTCAGCTAAAATGGAAAGAAATGAAAAATCAGGGGGAAGAGGTTTTTTTCACAAACTCAAAACATTTGAGATGTTTTCTTCTTTATGTCCTAGAATGCATAAAGGGGCTATGCAAGCTCCCCTTTAACCATCTTACTAGAACGGACTGTCAAGGAGAAGATTGAGGGAAGAGAAAGTGATCAATTAGATAGGAATGCCAGTGCAATGGAGGAGGATACTTACGCCTCCTATTATGCAGAAGTTTCTGGGTTGGCCCCACACATATTAACTTAAAAAGGAAAGTCACTTATTTAATTCTTCTTGGGACTTTGCTGCTTGTCTTGTCCTTAAAAAAAAAAAAAAAAATCCCGTCTTTGGTGCTTTTCTTTGCTTCATCATCTCACCTTACTGTCCCCTTCTCTTTCACCTTCATTTCCCTAAGGGGCATACAACACTTGTGGGAAAGTCTGTGGGGGCTGAGCCAGAGGTAGTGGTTCTGAACAGAATGTTGATGAGGGAGGTAGAGTCTCTGGGGATGAGAGAACCAGGGGACATAAAAACACGGGACGCCTGGGTGGCTCAGTTGGTTAGGCAGCTGCCTTCGGCTCAGGTCATGATCCCAGAGTCCTGGGATCGAGTCCCACATCGGGCTCCTTGCTCGGCGGGGAGCCTGCTTCTCCCTCTGCCTCTGCCTGCCATTCTGTATGCCTGTGCTCGCTCTCTCTTCCTCTCTCTCTCTGATAAATAAATAAAATCTTTAAAAAAAAAAAAAAAACACTGAGAGCTGGAGAGTTTGGTTTTTAAGAGATCAATGTCAATATCCATGCAACTAGAAACATTTTGTTTAACCATTAAAAAGTGACTCCAGGGGTGTCTCTGTTGGTTAAGGGTCCAACTCTTGATTTTAGCTCCAGTCATGGTCTCAGGCTGGTGAGGTCAAGCCCTGAGTTAGGCTCTGTACCCACGATGGCTCTGCATGATTGAGATTCTCTCTCTCTCTCTCCTTGGCCCATCCTCCAGCTCATGAGCCCCTGCTCTCTCTCTCTCTTTCTAAAATAAAATAAATAAATAAAATCTTAAAAAAAAAAAAAAAAGGTGACTCCAGAAGAAACAGTAAAGGTATCTGCTGTGCATGTCAGATTGGGGATACACCCCAAACACTCCTTGTTCTATAAAAACATTCCAGAATTTTCCTCTTCTCCTCCATGGATGCCCTCTACTTTGTTTCTTCAAGGATGATATAGGACTCAAACCTCTATTTGAGTCTGAGTATAAGATAATTTGGTGGCTTCTTTATCCCTCCAAGGAATCTCAAGATGTAACCACTTAGGTCCATCTGCAATGGCATTTGATAGGTAGGTAGCAAACACCCATGGGAGATTGCTATTTAAAGCTATATACTGAGGTCTGCATTTTGGGGAAGGAGAAAGCCGCCAACAACTGAACGAACAGCAGTGGCTAACATTTATTGAATGCCCATAATGTGCCCAGTGCTGTTTCCTTGAATTTCTAAATTACCCTTTAAGTTATATTTCTATCTCTGTCTTATAGATGAGGAGGCCATGACCTGAAAAGCTACAATAATTTGCTCAAGCTCTTAAAGGAAGTAAATGGCAGGAGCCCAGGTTTAACCCACACGGTCTGATGAGAGTTTATACATCCTTGTCTACAGTGCTAATTGTCCCTAGAAACATAATGAGCATCAACACATACTCTCTAAACTCCTGCCATGGGATGTCTAGAGTCTGTGGTCCTCCATGATGCCCCTTTCCTGTTACCTGCTAATGACTCTTATGTTTGCTGATCAAAGCTGTGCAGGCATTTTTAACTAACTGTCATGAGTGGAAAGCTGCGAGGTGTGGGGTGTGGTGCTCAGCAGGGGGCCTATGGAAACTCTGCTCCCATCCTGACTAGCATGCTGGGACCTGGGGCTGGTGCTCCTCAGGTGGGCTGGGCCACTGTTTTGGGGATTCTCCTTCTTAGGAAGCATTGTGGTGTTCTGTGGTTTGTGAATAAATCTTACATTTCCATATAATGTTTCAATCCTCTTCTGGTATTTTATATGACAGACCACTGCTTAGGAAAAAATAGGATTTTAAACATTGGGGATGAGGATGTTTAGGAAGACGTGGGCGACTTTATAACCACTGTGGAATTTTCTCTTACCTGAGGAAGGCCTTCTGACATGGTGATGGAAGCCAAAAAAATCCCTCATTGCCTACCTCTAATTGATACTAGTTATTAGAATCTGAACTCAAGTTGCTTGGGAATGAAAAAGAGAATAAGAACCGGAAGAAAAAAGTTATGGCCCGAAATACCTGCAGGAATTTACTATCATTCAACCATTCGTTCCATATTTATTGAGTGTAAGCTGAGTGGCAGGCATCATGTTGGCTGCTAGAGGTCCAATGGGCCCCAAGGTGGGCTAGTTTCTTGCTTTTGTGAAAACTACAATTTCTGGGGGTAAACAAAGTCGTTAATTAAGTCATTATGCAAAATTTACAAATTTACAATGCTAACCAAGCACTGTAAGAATGAAATGCATGGAATCTGAGTATTTTTTATAGGGAGACTCACCCTTGTCAGTGAGGTGAGTGAAACCTTCCTAAATCAGTGGTGCTTTAGTGGTGTGTGTTCTTTGGTATAAACCGAGCCAAGAGGTGAAGTAACAATGATTGAGTGGTGTGAAGATCCATGCAAAGGCCCTGTGGCCTGAGGAAGTATGGAGATTGAGGGTCTGAATGAAAGCCAGGGAGCTGGAATGAAGAAGAAGGATGAGCAATACCAGAAGAATATAGGGAGCTAGACAGGAGCCGGGTTATACAGAAACTTCCAGATTATGCAGAAACCTCGCACTCTCTTGGCCCACCTTTTACTCCAGCTGTTTTGCACACAGCTGTTAACCTGACAGCATCTCAACAGCTGTATGCTTGTTCTCTCCACCTTCAGAGTTCCTCTGCTGTCATCAAGTGAGGTGTTAATACCACATGGGGACATCCTTGACTAATGGGAGTGGTTGCTGGTGATCAGTATGTCCTCCTTCTGTCACTGGCATGGACAATTCTGAGGCTTACTCTATATAGCTTCTAGGCTTCCAGGTGGGTCCTCAGAAGGATAAGACTCATTTGCCCCAGTAGTGGCAGCTTTTAGCATGCTCTCAGGCAAAAGCTTTCCTTCCTTCTGTTTCATTCTTCCCTGAATGAAACACTTCCCTTCTTTGACACCACTTCCCAAAATATACTGCCAGCCTACAAGCCCTCCCACAGGCACAGTGGTTGGTGAAAACTAATGCTAAATTTTTAAATTTATATTTTTAAGGTTTTACTATAATAATTTTTGTTTGGGTTATATGTATGTTTTAGTTAACTGCTATTTATAGCAGGTTATATTTATAATAGCAGCAGCAATTTTTTTAAGAATAAAGTATGTTAAAGTTAAAAGAAATCTGAGATACATTATATTTCATATGGTACTTGGACGTATTAAGAATCATGGAAGTGGTAGACGATCTGGCGTTTAGGAAGTACTGCTCCGAAGTATGAGGCTGGAAACTAATCTAGTGATAGCTAATCAAATGGCCCTTTGCCCCATGAGAAAATTCTTTCTCACTAGTTATTTTAGAGGGGAGATTATGTAGGTAGCTGGAAGTAGAAACCAAAAGACTTTAGAAATTATAGAAGAACACTAGTATTTCTGGCAAAGTATGTATTACTAGATGTTCAGTATCTTCAGTCTTGGGACATAAATTACTGAGAAGGAAAAGAAAAGGAAGAGCAGAGGAGAACTATCATAGCGAACATTTATAATTATGTGTCTATTCTTATGTTTATCACTGATGTTGTAGGGGTTCCATGAGGAAATAGTGAGCTCTCCCTCTAACCCACAGCACATACCCTTTTGCACATAAATTTAAGTCCACACCACTGAGGTAACCAGTTTCTAATTTTCCAGAACTTTCTATGCCTATATGTATACATACATGTATATACACATAGGAATTTTTGTTAACGAATGAGTTCATACCACATACCCTATTTTGTAAATTTTTAAAGATCCATTTCTTATCAGAGCATAGTGTTCTAGAACTTTTTAAAGTTTACCGAGGTATTCATATACCACACATTCCACCCATTTAAAATTACACAATTGACTGGTTTCTAGTGTATGTTCACACAGTTGTGCATCTCTAACCACAGTACACTCTTTTTCTTTCAAGATCTCACAATAGTCCATTGTGTGGACAAGCCCTTCTATTTCATAAATCTAAGCATATTTGATTGTTTCCAATTTTTATCTGGAAAAAGCCCTACTTTCATAATCACATGTATAGATATCTGCACTTGTGTGAATATTGCTGTGGGACATCTTTCTACAAGTGGATTTCCTTCATATTCTATCTCCTTTGAAATGTGATGGATTTCCACAAATTCCCCCCCAAATGTTGTCGGGGGTTGACATTCACCATACTCACCAATAAGAAGAAGCCTGGATTTTTTTTTTTTTTTTTTTTTTTTCAGAGAGAGATCACAAGTAGACAGAGAGGCAGGCAGAGAGAGAGAGAGAGAGGGAAGCAGGCTCCCTGCTGAGCAGAGAGCTCGATGCGGGGACTCGATCCCAGGACCCTGAGATCATGACCTGAGCCGAAGGCAGCGGCTTAACCCACTGAGCCACCCAGGCGCCCAGAAGCCTGGATTTTTAAAGATTCATCTTTCTGTGAGTCAACAACTCATTGTTTTAATTTGCACTTTTGTGTGGGGGGTTTCAGTGTTTTTCAACATTTGATTGACAGCATATTTCCTTCCGTAAATTTCTTATTTGCCATTTGCCAACTTCTTTCCTTACTGCATTGCCCATCTATTGTCAGGCTGATTTATAAACATTTTAACACGTTAGAAAAACTAATCCTGTATCACGGATGCTGCCAGTACTTTTCAAAGGTCATCTTTTAACTGCATAAACATTGCTGTTTGCCAGATCAAAGTTATAAACTTACGTGTGGTCAGTATATTCCTGGTTTTATTTCTCGTGCCATGCTTATAAATGTTTCTCAGTGAGAAGACTTTTGATACAGTGGTTTTGGAAGTGGGGTAATTACTTTTATTTATTTATTTATTTTTATTTATTTGACAGAGAGAGCACAAGTAGGCAGAGAGGCAGGCGTGGCGGGGGGGCAGGCTCCCTGCTGAGCAGAGAGCCCAATGCGGGGCTCGATCCCAGGACCCTGGGATCATGACCTGAGCCAAAGGCAGAGGCTTAACCCACTGAGCCACCCAGGTGCCCCGGAAGTGGGGTAATGACTTTTAGACTAATAAAATAAGGGTGAAAAATTGGTCACTTACTAGCTATGCCTCACTATTTTCTTACTATTAATGGCAGTTTCTAAGCTAATACTATGCAGAAGCATAACGAACTTGAGGCCAACACTAGGGCCGTTTGAATGGAGAGATCCCCTTTTTTAATCTGGATAATATCTCGACAGGAATTTGTGCGGCTGACCGTTTCTGATGTTCTGACCACTTACGTCACGATCCTCATTGGGGACTTTCTCCGGGCATGTTTTGTGAGGTTTTGCAATTATTGCTGGTGCTGGGATTTGGAATATGGATATGTAAGTATGAGGTTCATTTTTCTCTTGTCTGATTATTCCTTCGTGGCTTATCATTTCCACACGCTATGCCAGAAGAAGAATTTAGGAGGTGGGACCATGTGTTAGATGTTAGGAAGTGAAGACCCGTGGGTATAGTTTTAATTCAGAAGGGTGTCAGACGGGAGCATCATGGTTTATGACATTCTAGTAAAGTGAGCACAGGATGGCTAAAGCAGTGAACCTCAACCTATCCAAGAACATGGTGAACTCAGTCAGTCTGGGACCCATAGCCAGCCCCCTCCCCATGAAGCTTGCTGACATTTCTAGAAGCCAGGCAAAATGGGTAATATCAACTTTGAGTTCTACTGAACGGACTCCCTAGACAGTTACTGTGCAGCGCAGTGGGTGATAAATGGATCCAGTAAATATGGTGCTTGTTGCATAAAGCTCCCTGGCCAATAAGAGCTCAGCAGAGACACAAGTAGGGAGCTGTCCAGGTTCCAAGGTGGTCCCAGGGTGCTGATAGGTGTCTGGCAAGTGGTGGACCTGAATTTCGGCAAGTTGACGTCCTTCTAGCACTGCAGCAAGAACCCAGGTTTCTCTGAACCCCACTGATGTTGACTCCATTCCCAGTTCACCTTCGGCGTGCAAGCCCCACTCCCTCCACCACCTGCGACCCCCATAAAGTTCAGGGAGGCAACAGAGCACACATCACTCTGCAGTTTCCCACATTGCCGGGTGACCATGGTCCCTCTTTTGCAACTCTTAACAGTCATCTTGGGAACTATGACCTGAAGTGTTGACTGTAATCATGTGCTTAAAATCCTCCAGTGGCTAATAAGTACTTAGAATGAATCCCAAATCTCTTTTTAAGGCCTTTGATGTCTTACAGGATCTCTTTGTTTGTTGTTTCCTCTTTTCTTTCTTTCTGAGCTCTTCTTCTACTACTGTTGTTCTTGTTTTGTAAAGTCCCTAAATGTTGGAATTCTTTCTTACCTCAAACACAAGATAACCCTTGCATTGGCTCTAGCTGTTTTCCCCTGTAGGGTTGCAGATTTCTACAATTGGGCTTAGCTGATGCCTTCTCGTCATTAAGATCTCCACAATATGTCACCATCTTTGAGCTCTTCTCCAACCTTCCCATCTAATGTAGCCTACCAGATTCTCTACTTCAACGTCCTGCTTGATTTTCTTCATACGATGTGTAACTCTGACATTTCCTTTTAAAAGCCTGCTTATAATCTGTCTCCCTCTGTCAGAATGAAAGCCCTATGAAAACAGAAGCTTTGACCTCTATGCCTAGAACAGTGCTTGTCACTCGGTGGGCATTATAGTTGACTGTCTGCTTCTATAAGCCTCTACATTCTAGCACCATTCAGGCAACGCCATCTGTTGGAAGAATTCTGCCTGCTTCCAGGGGTGTGCCCGTGGAGTCCATCCTGGTTCAGTAACGTCAAGCCAATGATGTTTCTCTCCTAGCTAAGGAAGAGCTATCCTTTAGTGCCGACCTCGCCCCAGCCCCATGCCAACCTCTCTCTAACCCCATACCCTCTTAGTCTCCGGACAAGTCCTGTGCTCAGGACTGTTTTCAAGACACCAGGCTGGACCCTCAGCCTGGCCATCTGACTTTGAGATCCCACCTTTGATTAGGTCATCTTTGACATCCTCCCTGAAAGGGCCTGTGGGATGCGCCAAAAGTGGTTAGATAATGCTCTTTGGTGAGCGCCAGTGAGGTAATGCTATGGTTTCCCCTTCCCCGCTATGAGGTATTCAGCTGGCCGGGTTTCATTTCTATTTTCCTTATCTGATTCAGCTCTTCCGAGGCAGACATAAAAATCTGCATTTCTTTCTGAGGCCCCTGCCTGGCTTATGCTTGCCTTTTATCCCTTACTGCTCTCTTCCTAAGTGCTAGAAAATTTTGCTTCAAATACCAAGTCAATAAAACATGACCTGGATGCATAAAAGCTGTAATTAAATGACTGTCATTTATTATTTATTGAGTGCTGACAGTGCTCTTGGGTTAGTACAAAGTACAGGGGGAAAAAAAAGACAACTTCCCGTTTTAGGTCACAGAGAATTTTCTTCCATGTTACCTTTGGAAGGCTGTGCAGAGAGCAGTCCAGCATCTAAACAATTTAGAAACAGTAAAAGGTGGACGGGGTACCTTGGACGCGGATCCTGTCATCATGGACTCATCCGCTAGAGAACGGACACAGCTGAGTGCCTAAGTGCGAATCAGTAGGAGCACAGCTCTGGGCCAGGTGATAAGGGGGTGCAGAGATGTAAAAGATGTCAGCCTGAGGAAAGGTTGCAAACTTGGCCTTGCTGCTGAGATTCAGCTTGCTGATAGATTTTTCTTTCTTTGCAGAGTGTTTTCGTTTGTTTTGTTTTAATGAGCTCATATTTTAAAACTAGAGGTTTTACATATAAAAAGATAGGGATTTCTTGCTTTTCTTGACACATTGGAAGGGCTGGCAACATTCGATCAACATTCCCACTGGGGAGAAATGGGCTGGAGTGAGAAACCCCTGCCCGGTACAGTTGGAATATCCATCCACTAGTTCTCACACGCTTTACTGACCTTTAATCCTGCACGCTGTCTCCTGATCAATACAGAGCAGAAAGTGTAAGTGCTCTAGGAGAAACCAATGGCAACATGACTTTGGGGGTGGAGGGAGGGAAGAGAGATGGGAAGGAAGGAGGGGGAGAGAGAAAGACAGAGAAAGAGAGAGATCAGAAATGCCAAGAGGCACTCGGGAAAGGATCAGAATTTCAAAGGCCCAGTGGAAGCAAGGATTCTCGGTGGAGGGACCAACGTAAGACAGGGCCCCGAGGGTATGGGCAAAGTGTGGGCAGGGGAGATGCAGAACTCTCAGCTGGGGCTGTTAGAGAGAAGAGGCCGATGAGAATGTGTCTCTGATACTCTCCGAGATATCCTAATTGAAAATATGAGTCCAGAAAGTACCTATCATGGAATAAAGGAGAACCTGAGATGGGCAGAGAAGATACTTTTGAGATGCCTTTCAGAAATCAAAGAGAAAAATGTGTCCATTTCCACTATGAAAAGATTTTTTTTTCCGAGTTCCCCAAACAGTACCAGTTCATCATAAAAAATCCAGAAAATCCAGTGTAAGTTAAATATGAAAATAAAAATCACAGGTAATCCCACCATTTATGGGATTACTTATTTGGGTTGATATTTATATGTAAATAAACAAGTATGATAGATTTTTATATAATATAGATTTTTATAAATATACATATTTTTATAAAATTATTAAAAAGTGTATATTTAATCACTGGTTACCTGATTTTTTTCACCTGTGACCATTTCCCTAGGTTAACTATTCTTTTTTTTAATATTTTATTTTTTTAAGATTTTACGTATTTGACAGAGAAAGAGCAGGAGCAGGGGAAGGGACAAAGGGAGAGGGAGAAGCAGACTTCCCACCGACCAGGGAGCCTGACATGGGGCTCGATCCCAGGACCCTGAGGTCATGACCTGAGCCAAAGGCAGACCCTTAACCAACTGAGCCACCCAGGCACCCCATTAACTGTTCTTTTATGACGTTTTAAATGACTGTGATATTCTATAAATGAACAAATTATAATTAATTTTTATTGGCTGTCAGTAAAACTTTATCTAATTTTTAATTATTATAGTAAATATTGCGGTTACATTTATTTATAACCATGTAGTTAAATATCTTCGTAGATAAGCTCAGATTATTTCCTTATGAGAAATTTCTCTAAGTTGAATTGCCCATTCCTAGAGAACATACCTTTTTAAAAAATCCATTCACTTTTCTTACAACAACTTCCATAAAAACTAAACTCTGTAGACTCTACAGATTTAGCGATCCATGGAATATTAACGTTGAGTGGAATTTTGACATAATCAATCAGGCACACTTTATTTCACATCTGAAAAATCGAGGGCTCATGAATTGAAGTGAGTTGCCTCTGTTCGTGTCACCAGGGGATAAACAAGGGCAATGACGTGTCCTTCTGGATATAGCCATTACGTTAAATATGCTGCATTATATACTGGTTGTATCAGAGTACATTACATTAGAAGTGACCCTGTAGATTTTTTCCAGCTAGAAATTTATGTCTAAAGTATTATCACAACAAACATATAAAGATGGACTGAGCTGGGGAAATTACTGGCTAGAAGCAGGTGTTAGACCAGTAATGTAAGTTAATCTTTCCTAAGGCTTCTCCAAGCATAGCAGACAGTTCTCAATGTTTCTGAAGTGTTCACTGACTCATCGGGAGTGGAATGGCTTCTCCCAGGAGGGATTTTAACCACCCAGATGCAGCATAACTGCCCTAAAGTATCTCATAAACTCTGGGTTTCCTGCGGTAGCTCAACACAGAATGCCCTTACTTATAGCCTAATTTGTGTTGACACTATGTTTGCCATTTACCAATAAAATAGGTAACAGAGATCAAAGAAGAAATAGAATTGAATACATAGCATGGGATTAGACTATGTTCAACCAAATTAAAATGTCAGCATCTTTTTTTTTTTAAAGATTTTATTTATTTATTTGACAGAGAGCGATCACAAATAGGCAGAGAGGCAGGCAGAGAGAGAGGATAACAGACTCCCTGCTGAGCAGAGAGCCCAATGCGGGGCTTGATCCCAGGACGCTGAGATTGTGACCTGAGCCAAAGGCAGAGGCTTAACCCACTGAGCCACCCAGGTGCCCCAAAATGTCAGCATCTTGTTTAAAGTTACATTTTTTTT